CGCGATCTACAAAGAATTCTAGAGGAATCGCGCCAAGTGGAGGATGAGAAAAGAGAGCGCCGGATGCAGGCAGAAAGGGAAAGGTACAGGACCGAGAAAGAGGCGGTGTTGCCCCGGCAGTATCAGGCGCCAGAAGAGCGGGAGAACGATTTCTATCGTGACGTGAATGGTTACATTCAAGCCGAGAAAATCGTGACAGCCTGGGAACTTTTGCCCCCTGTAGATAATTTTACTGAAGAAGAAACGGCACAGTTTGAGAAGGCCTACCTTGAGTTCCCCAAACAATGGGGCCGAGTCTCAGAGCCATTGGCAAATAGGGACTTTGGGACAAGTATCCAATTCTACTACCTCAAGAAGGAGAAGAGCCAACTCAACCTGAAAGAGAAGCTGAAGAAGCGCCCGAAGCAGCGTAAGAGAGGTGGACGGGGTAAACAGCGATCTAGTGCGTTGGTTTCGGAACTTGGAAACGGGGACAACGACAACGAGGAAACTCATGATACAGGTGAGAATGGGGAGAGGCGGAGGCCTAGGCGTGCAGCTGCTCCCACTTTTAATTCTGAGGCTACTCCGGCTACTGACGGCGAAGGCGGAACACCTGCTGGGACTCCAGGTCGTAGAGCGGCCGGCTCTAGAGGAGATGGCACCGAGAGACCCGAGCGTAAGCCTAGAGGGCGCCGCGCTGCTAAGGACAAAGAGGCGAAACCACCCCGGGTCAACCAGACTCTTGCCGCAGCTCCGCCTGCGGGAACAAAGAGTAACCGTTCGCGATCCAACTCGAGAGTCGTTCACGCCCCGGAGTGGACTCCACAGCAGGCACCGGGCGAAGCTGCCAGGACTCCCGTCCAGTACGAATTGGCCCCAGGCACCGCGCCCGTTCCGCCCGTTGCCATTCCCGCACCGTTTTCACCGGCGCAGCCGATACGCAGTCCCGAAAGGGGTGTCCCCCCTCCGCCACCACCTCCACCTTCCGTCCAAATACCCATTGATACGATGGGCCCTCCGCCTTTGCGCCCAGAGCCGCCGCAGCAACCACAGGTTGCCATGCTTGATCTTGGCCAAACGCCAGTATCCGATCGCAAATCAGGCACGCAAGCATCCAGCTATTGGAGCGTACCTGAAGCTAACGACTTCCCTCACCTGCTTCGCTCCTTTGGAAGCGATTGGCAGGCGATCGCGACGCACATGCGTACTAAAACGCCAGTCATGGTAAGCATAATTAGTATTCGACCCGGTGGTTGCATAGCAATTTTACTAATCTGTATAGATAAAAAATTACTACACTCGTAAAAAGGATGGTCACGATTGGGAAGGAATTGTGCGAGAGGCGGATGCCAGCAAAGCTCGAGGGGAGAAGAGACCCGCGCCTCCAGCACCCAGCTCGGGTGCGAAGAAGCGCTACGAAACATCAAGTAATCGACCGCTCGCAGCTGCAGACGCGATCATGGAAGATGTTCCGGTATCGAAGTTAGAACACCCTCAAACGCAACCGACGACGGGCCGCTTCAATGTTCCGATAGCTGCTCAGCCGCAGCCTACGCTCCTGCAGTCGCCGTTTGGGCCAACACCTCAGCCTACGCTGGTCCAAGGTCATGCGGCTACCCCACCTGGATCGCAGTCTATTGCCCAGCCTGTAACACAGACCATATCTTCTCGACCTATAGGGACGGCGCCTTTCCCGTTCGCCGATAGAGAACGGGAGCTACCGGCACAGCAGCCTAGCCGCGTTACATTGGGACAGAAGCCAACGCAGCCTCCGCCCCCACCAGCGTCTGAGCCCCCCATGGGAAGACACCCTCTACCTACATCTTTAATTGAGCCTCAGCTAGAACGACCCAAATCTGAGCTCAAAGCGCCGAAGGAACAGCCACGGCACCAGGAGCGCCAGCAGTTGCGTGTAAAACAGGAACCGGATCTCATTCACCAGTACGAGCCCTTTGCCGCCCAGGCCCAGGCCGGCCGTATGGCATCGTCTCGTCTAGACAATGTACCAATGTCTCGTCCTCCCGACCCTCCTCGCGCAGTGGCACCAGCTCCTTCACCGGCACCTGTGTCGGCTCCCCAAGCGCAATTTGCCACCATTCTTCAGCAGCCTAGTCGAGCGTTATTGGGTGAGAGATTGGGTGAGAGCAATCCGTCTTCGCCAGCCCGCCCTCGGCCTCTTTCAAACCTATCTCGGCCAACATCCGGCGCCAGTGGCGGGACAGAGCCTTTCAGTGCTCCGCCGTCACAGCCCACGCCGCCTATTGCTGCTCCTCCCCCAAGTCGCCCGCCAGAGCGAAAGACATCTAACCTGATGGCGCTTTTGAATGACGACCCTCCTCCCGCCCCAAAGAGACTTGCCGAAGTGCCTGCCGCTACGAAGCCGTCATCCACTCCCCCGGCACAGACCAACCTCTCTCGCCCTCCACCTCCGCCGCCACCTCCGTCCCATGTCCGGAGAGAGTCGGGCGTTCCAGAGGCTCGAGGTTATGGATACGGTCGGAATCCACCACCGGCGCCGTCTGCAATGCCTCCTCTGAAACCATACGCGTCGCCTCAGGCACAATCTCTAAATGCCCCTCGTCACATGGTTTTGGAGACTGCTGCAGAACAAGAATATTATGGTGGGCGGCCGCGCTCCTTCCCTTCGGCACATCAGCAGCCAGCACAAGGTTCTCCTCAGAGTGCCCATCACTATCCACCTCCGAATCAGCCGGTGCAGATGCAGTATCAACCCCAAGCCTCCTATCCCTATGGCGCCCAGGTTCAGCCACCCAATGCAGCATCTCCTCCACCTCAATATGGAGGCCATTCCGCCCCTAGAGGCCATGAATCTCAGTCAAGCCGAGACGGCGGCTGGCCTGGCACGCATCAGGGCCACCAGTTACAACAGCAGCATCAACTTCAGCAGCAGCAGCTTCAGCAACAGCATCAACAGCAAATCCAGCAACAGCATCAGCAACAGCAGCCGCCTCCTCCGCCGCCGCCCCCGCCGCCGCCCCCGCCGCAACAACAACCTACTTGGGCATCACACCCTCCGCAGCCACCGAAGTCCACGCAACCACCTACTCAGTCAGCCTGGGCTGCACAGCACGCGCCTACGCCGAAACCACCACCGCCCAGCAGTTCTGTTCCCCCGCAACCTTCTTGGGCTACGGTGCCACCGCCTAGAGGGCACGACCCCATGGCGCTTCGAGATGTGTACCCGCCGCATAGAATGCAAGCTCCTTTGCAGCAGTATGCGCCTGCCTCGCGAGCTCCGGAGCCGCCGCCACCGCAAGCTCCGGCCGCGTATCCACGTTATGCCAGCACACCAGGACCCGGGCGAGATCCTCGTGATCCCGGCCCACCTAGGAGCTATACCCCCGTGAGCGCTTACGATAGTAGGGGATATCCGCCGCCCACTCAGGATATGCGCGATGCACAGATGCGCGAGTCACAGATGCGCGAGTCACAGATCCGTGAACAGCAGCAGATCCGTGAGCAGCAACAGCAGTCCATCTTACAGCAGCAGTTGCGGCCCGATAATAGACACTTGTACGATCGCCCGCCGCCTGATCGATATGGAAGGTAGGAACAACCGTATCCATGGCCACAGGCATCGCAGCCGGGCGTTATGGTGGATGGAGGATGGTATGAACAAGCGAGTGTTCACAACGGAGACCACTCGAGAACGCCAATTCAGCTGGACTCGGAGCGAGGTTCCCTGGTCGTAGTACCCGTATTTCAACAACCGAGTCAACAGTATGGCAATGCGGATCCAGCATTTTATGCTTCAGGACAGCCTCAACCTCAGCCGCCGTGGCTGCCGTTCTCTCCGGAGGACGAACAATCCTAGTATTAACGACAGCCCGAAAGTTGTCTGTTGGGCATTGCACAGACCTTTACAGACCAAATCACCTGATGCCTGAGCACACCTTATACGTTAGATCGAGTTCAAACTTTCGAACTGGTCTTACTCAGCGTCACCACACTACGCCCGAAAAACCAATACGGCCGACCGCATATTTCTCAGGGGAGCCGTATTCCTACAAGCTAGCAATTAGAGCGAATCCGTCTCTACCTAGTTTACATAAGACTTTTAGTCTGAGCATGGCGGACCATCGTACCCAAAACAACGTTCAAAGTAGCCCGATTCCAATCCGATCTAGGCCCTCCTTTACCTTCAACGAACAGCATCCTAGACGGCACAGAATCCAATCAAGGATTCGTCCACCCCAATTCCGCTGCCTCTGTTGATCCGGACACGTTCAAAGGAATTCTCTTTTCTTTTTCATCAATTTGGTTTTCACTCCCCGCTCGTATTATCATTGGTAAGGCTATTTTCCCCTTTCATTTTTACAATTCTATTTTCGTATCTGCACTATATTTCTAACTTACCTCCCTAGGTACCTCGTAAGGTTACCATATCATCGAAAATTCCTCACAGTTGGTTGTCTATTCAGGAATCAACTGGCTCCGTTCCAACTTCAACCTTATACGTAGAAGCGATTCATATGACGTCGACGATTCTACGTTCTCGAAAGGGGACATGCTGTACGAACCAGACGATGAAGTCTAGGAAGAAAAGAAGGTCTACAATCAAAAGCTGCTGGTGTATCACCGCCGCTTAAACTTGAACCTCGCAACCACAAAAACTTAAAACCCAACACTAGCCAACCCAGCAAACCAACTCTACGCAGTTGATACTTCATAGACAAGGTCAAAGGCACGCATTACCGGCGGGAGGGGGGGGAGGAACTGGCGGCTTTCTGAGAGACCCGGAGTCCCGGATGGCGAGGCTGATTTACGCCTTGTAAAGGGAAAGCCCCTTTTGTATGAGTCTTTGTACATGAGCCGCGATGGACGAGCACATGGTGGCGAAGCTTTTCGCTTGCATTGTTTTTTCTTTTTCTTCAATCGAAGCACTTTACTTTTTAACAAATAATAAACCTCTATGTGAATGTGATTCATGTAAAATGCCAAAAGAGAAAGAAAAAAAAAACATGAGCATGAAAAAAAGGGGGAAAAAGAAATTGATCGTCCGGCACGGGGAATCGAACCCTGAGCTCCTCGGCGAAAGCGAGGTATGTTCGCCATTACACTATACTGGACTACATTACTTGCCTCCCCGAATACCTATGCTTGGCGCACGAAATGGGATGCTTGTATCAGTGCTGTTGCCATTGATATCGCAAAGTGTTATAACCGACGATCGTCGGCCCCGGGGTCCGATCACCAAGATGTTAATGACGATTCAAGGGGCAGTCCGTTGAGTATGTACTAAGTAATGCAATACAGCATGGTGAAGAGTTCGCCTTTGAACTAATTCACGAAAGGGTATTACATAGGAAAAATTCAATCTTTAGACGATAATCCCGGCTCTGTAGGTAGAATATCGAATGGAGATAGATGACTGAGGAACGAAACATGTCCTATCCGTAGAATCATCACGCTATCGGGTCACCACGCTACAGCTACAGCAGTCCAGCAGCATATGATTACCTCGCGAGATTTACTTCTAACCACAAAGACCATCCAATATACGTCCTATGGAAGGGGAACGGCTGACAGAATGTACATCTATTTATTACCCATTGTAGCCTTTACTTTAGATGTTGCTAATATTAGTCCATTTGTGCCCGGCTCAAACCTATAAAGTACGACCATCTACTATTTACAAACAGACTCACGATCAAGGAGCCCGAGACTTATCAAATTGGGTATCCGTCGTATTATCGCAATGCTCTATAGTCTAAAGAGTCCAGCCCTGGCTCTGGCTCTGGCTCTGTCTGTCTGTTCTCTCCGGCTACAGCGCGAACCTCGCCGCAACCCCCACCACGGCGCCCAGCAGCAGCAGCAGCACCGCCGCCAGCAGCCGCGACGACGTCTCCCTCGCGGGGCCCGCCAGCATCCGGTCCACGATGCCGTCGAGCCGGGCCGCCATGTGCGTATCCCCGAAATTATCCCGCACGCGGGCGATCCCGGCCTCGCGCATGGCGGCCAGGTCACCGGGGGAGAGCCGGTTCAGCACCTTGTCCATGACCTCGGTCCAGTCGGCGACGCGGGCGGGCGACCGCAGCCAGCCGGTGACGCCCTCGACGACGGTCTCGGTGGGCCCGCCGGTGTCGGCGGCGAGGACGGGGACGCCCGCGAGCATGGCCTCGAGGGGCACGATGCCGAAGTGCTCGTTGGCCGGCGTGTACACCAGCAGCCGGGCCGAGGCGAGGAGCGCGTCCTTGAGCAGGTTCGGCACCGAGTGCAGGAACAGCACCTCGACGTCGTCGGGCACCTCGAGCGCCGTCACGTGCGTCTTGGCCGTCATGCTGCGCAGCCCCATGGCCTCCGCCAGGGCCTCGAGCTCCTTGTGGTAGCCCACGTTCTCGGCCACGCGCGGGTCGTAGCCGCCGGCTACCACCAAACGCACCCCCCGCCGCGCCTCCGCGCCCAGCCCCGCGAACGCCTTGACGGCCAGCGCGACGTCCTTCTTGCGCTCGAAACGGTTGATGCTCAGCAGGAACCTCTTGCCCCCCCACAGCGGCTTGCTGTCCGTCCTCCGCCTCGGCTTGGTGTCAACGCAGGGGTACACCACTTCCAGGTCCATCTGTTTCGCGAGGCCGGGCCAGGTGCGGCCGACGACGCCCTTCGTGAAGTTCGAGTTGACGGCGACGGCGTCGGCGAAGCCCATGCTGAGCTGCTCCCACCAGTCGAAGGGCAGGCGGTACGCGCGCTTCCACCACCGCTGGCGGCCCTGCGCCAGCAGCAGGTCCGGGAAGTGGCAGTAGAACAGGACGCGGCCGGCGGGATAGACGAGCCGCAGCAGCGGGAGGCCCGCGCTCAGCTGGTCGACGAAGAAGGCGTCGGGTGCGAGGCGCGCGAGCTCGGACGACAGGTAAATCTGCAGGATGATGTGCAGCTGCCGCAGGATCGAGCACAGGATGCTGAAGCGCGCGAGGATCGAAGGGGGTACGATTGTGTTGCCGCGCACGCGCACGTCGAGGGTGCCTGTTACACGCAAGTTTTCCGGTAGTAAGCTTTCCCGCTAGGCCTACAGGTAGATGATCGGGATTCAAAAAGAAACGTACCATCGCGCGCCTCGTCGAAGCAGTGCTGGGGGTCGCAGTGGCTAGTAAAGATGACGACCCGGTGGCCGCGGTTCTGCAGGCCGACGGCGGCGTCGACGACCAGCCTCTCGGCGCCGCCTATGCCGAGGTCCGGGTGCAGGAACACGATCGTCTTGGGTTTCGGCTCCCTCTTCTCTTCCGTCATGATGGGAGGCGGTGGGCCATGAAAAGAAAAAGAAAAAAAGGTTCCGACGTGGGAAGTTGAGGGAAAGTTGCGGCTCCGCGAAAACGAGCTGTAAGGACAGCGGAGCTTCTTTTTTTTCTCTCTTAGCTTCCCCCCCTGCAACTGCAGCCCTATGCCCCCCCGCACCTTATCCACTAACCGCTGCCCCGCAAATCCGGCAGTGGCTTTGCATGCCCCTTGCATTGTTTGTTCATATAGGGGGTAGAGTGAGATGCATTATCAATGTATCAGTGTAGAAGACCCAAAGACGTAGTAGCCATAACTTCATTACTATATTTTTATCTACTCTCCACTCTAGCCTCGATCGATTATACGTAGTGCTGCCTCTGTCTCTGAAGTAGGTCCTCAACATTGGTAGCTTCGTCTTCGTCTTCCTCTCACTTCATTCTGGATATCAGCCCATTCAAGTTAGTCCACCTTCTCCCGACGTATGTCCTGCCATTTTCATAACGGCAGCACCGCAAGCCCTCCCTTTCCTCTCCTAGCTCTGGTACTTGAGCCAGCCGGTCGTGCCCGCCGCCATAGCACCGACAATCTCAGGACGCCGTAAACATGCGGGTATGGTAAAGGAAAAACGATAGCAAAACGAAAACATCATAACTGTGCCTTATGCCACCCGTCCCAAAGAGCGCCAGTCCTGTGGGCCAACTGAATGGCCAGAATATCCCGATGCGCCATTTCTAGGATACCCGGCCAAAAAGAAAAAAGAATAAGAAAAAAAAACATATAAACAGAGAACTAAAAAGATGCAATCTCTCCAACCACCAGCACTTGTGATCGTGCCGTGTGGCAAGCCGCCTGGAGTCTAGTACTAGTACCTAGGCGAATTCGTATTTTTATTCGCTGACGGAGCCCTCCTCATCTTTATCCCTCCCTTCCTCGATCCCCTCCTCGTCCTGCCTGCGCGGAGTGACTAGTCCCAGCTCGCCACGCACGTCCTTCTGGATTTTCAAGAAATATTGCTTCAGCGTCTCCAGCCCGCGGAGGAAGCCGCGGTCCGGATCGTTGGGATGTTTCGGCGGGCACGGTTTGTCTTCCGCCAGATCTCCGGCCGTGACGCTGTTGGCAAAGTCTGCCATCTTGAAGTCGATCTCTCTCTTGTTCCTCTGGCGCCTCTTCGCGTCCCACACGTCCTCGACATCCGTTGCAAAGTCCGTCGTGGAGTCGTCGGCTGCTGTATCGTAGCCCTCGTCCGAATCGTCGGCGTCGTAGAACATCAAGAGGCTGGCCGCGTAGAACCGGTAGCCGCGCAGCCTGCGGATGGTCATCTCGAGCTGGTTTAGTTTCTGCAGGATCGTCGGGATATGTCGTAGGACGCTGCTGTAGTCTACACCGTCGTAGAGAAACATGGTGAGAGCGTTTTGAAACTCCGCGCCGGCCTTGAGGCTTCGTCCATAATATTTGTCTTTGAATATATAGGTCTGAGACTTGGCGTCCCAAGCTTGCAGTCCGCAAACCCTCACCCCCAGCTCCCTCGACGTTGTTGCCGCACATTTGCACCGTTGCGACTCTCGTTTCTTCGGGTTCGCCTCCACGCCGTATTGTCGAGTACCCATCTTCAGATCCATTATGCAAGGACGCTTCATACCCGCGGTTAGATCTTCTAGCAGCAGGAAATATTCTACTCTCGAGTCGCGCTGCGTCTGCGCCTCCTTCGGGTTGACAGGCCGTGGAATTTTTCTGAATTCCATCGTCGGACTCGGTATTTCTGAAGGTACCTCTGATGACAGGTTTGACTCAGTTACAAGATTGCCAGTGGATCCATTCTCCGCGGCGTCTTCTTGCTTGATCCCGTTTTGCGCGTGTACGAGAGCCCGCAACCCTGCACGAGCCTCGCCATCTCTGTATTCAACCTCATCTGGATCTTCAAAGTATTTGAGGTTGCCACGAGAATCGGTGACGTCTTGGGGCTTTCGTCGGAGCTTGCTTCCCGAGTTTCGTCGTCGTCGCCTCTGCTGGGGAAACTTTTCCGACAGAGTCTCAGGTTCTGGCGCGCTGGATCCCGTAACGTCTTTTACGTGATCCATGCCCTCAATCCTTGCACAACTCGAGTCTGCGCCCAAATCACTTTGACTCTGTGAGAGTTGCGGGATATCTCTGAAGGAATTCACTTCATGAGTTTGCCGAACGCTATCGTCGGCCTCCTCTCGTCCAGGCACGGCTTGCTCAGAACTTGCCGGTTGCTCTAGCCGCTTTACCAGATGACGAGGGATTGATCGCTGATGGGACGCCGGCCTTCGATGTTTGTGTACCGCGATGGGTTGTTTCAGGAAAGCATCATTAAATACTTCATTTCGCAGTCTCTTGTTAACAGTCGTGGCGCCCCAGCTATTGGCATGTCGGTCTTCTAGGCTTGGCCGAGCTGCTAGGACAGCATCTTTGTCCGACATATGAGGGCTATCATCATACTTGTGCCGTTGTCCCGCGGTGGCGTATGCGCTCCTTGGACGGCCATTGCTGTTAGAAGACGTCGCAGGTCGAAGCAGACTTCGAGGAAGAATGTGCCGATTATCGACGAAGGTGACTGTAGGTATCGGAGTCTGCGAAGAGTGTAGGGATTGGCTGACTATTCTGCGATGATGCTGCTCTTCTTTATCCGGAGTATCCAAGCGTTGCACGGTTCCCTGGTCAGCAGTTCCGTTGCCACTTGGATGGCCACCTTGCTCGCTCGCCTTCTTCTCTGGCGCATGTCCGTCATCCCTCTTGATTGTCGACTTTCGTCGTGGTTGCTTCTGAAACGTTACATTAAGAACGCCGATATACCTGGTAAATAAGTCAGCTTCTCTCGATACCATAAATATCGAAT